TCAGAAGATAGCTGTGTTCTGAGTTATAGCGCCCTGTAGTCTGGTAGAAGTTTACCGAACTACACGGCGCTACAAACCGACGTTTTAAAGGTCCTTGCTGCCTCCATCATCAGGGCGAACGTCGGCAAGCTTCTACCAGACTGCACGGCGCAACAACCCAGGAGACAGCCATCTTCAAATCAAATTTTTATTCACAAATGATAGGGCAAATGAAAATATTTATTCCTATTCATTGATAATCTTATCCCAAAGAACTGAAGTCACTTCATCACTTCGAGACTAAGACACTTCACTTCACATCACTTCCTTTATCTCCATCTAATCCCCACTTAATACCCCCTTTGCTTGTAATTCTTGTCCAAAACAAAGTTAGGCCCTCGTATTAGGAACCAGATATTTATTTTGATCTGTATCCTGGGGTCTCGGGTTCGATTCCCGGCGGTGCCGGAATTTATAACTTGTGTTGGGCAAGTCCGTGGTCTAGGCAACACGGAGTTTTCCTCCGTGGCATCCCAACAATTACTCCATTCACACACAGAAGAAGGCAATGGCAAACCACTTCTGGATCATCTGCCAAGAACGTATATGAACAGGTCCCAGTCCGAGAAAAGGATGGAAGGATCCTGTTCATATGGACCTGTCGGCAGACAGAACACTACAAATAAAAAAATAAAATTCAAGATCTGAAAAAAGGACGTGCTTTATCACCAGTGGTTAGAATACACATTAGGAAGGTTCAAGAAAGCTTGAAAGGATCGGAATTAAACGGCATACGCCATTTTCCGGTCTATGCTGGTAATGTAAATTTATGTACATTAGAATGAAACACAGATAAACTCTTGTAGACGCTAATAAGGAAGTTGATCTGGAAAAGAACGTGGACAGTTACACATGTTGATATATGATCACCGGAATATAATGAGTCGAAATCTTTAATTAGAAATCGTCAATAAATTTGTCAAAATTCTTTAAAAATTTAAATATTTTGTGAACGACAGTAACGGATCAAAATTGGATTCACGGCGATATTAAGAGCGGCTTAAATTAGGATAATGCATTTTACGCTTCGTTCTGGAATATTTTTCTTCCTGTCTAAGATTAAAGCATACATTTCAATAACTCAACCCGTTGCCTTAGGTCTATCTGGGAGTGAATTTTGGTCCACTAGCCAAAGGGGGGGGGGTACTTAGACCGGAATATTTGAGAACAAAGGGGGGAGGAACAAATTTTGACTTAAGCAATGGGAAGTAAGGATATTGGAGAAGTTTACGCAGTGAGAGGCTACTTAATAATATGTGCTCATCATTAACTAACTCTGTGGTAAGAGTACTCTAAGGTTCGAGACCCCTAATTCTAAAGACCGCATTGGACATGACCCGGAGCTAGTTCCATCCGCCTCTGACCATCTTAACCTGTCTGCTCAAGATTAATCTTCCAGTTATCTTCTCATCTTCTTCTTGGTTTTTCAAATAGTTATTTCCCAGTAGCTCTCTCCAGCTATCTTGTGTATGATCATTTGAATTGAATAGTACCAGGCTGTTCCAGATCAGAGGAGCAGAACATGTAGCACATGTAGAGGAGATGAGAAATACTTGAGTCGGAATAGACCGTTGAGGAGAGATAAACGCAGATTGGAGGATAATATTAAAGCGGACCTGAATGAATTAGGGTTTGGTTGTGTAGAAATTATTCCAATGGCGAAAATAGCAGTGAAAATCAGGGTTTCTTAGAACGCCGGTAATATCTTGACCAGCTAAGTGACTGTGACCTCATGAAGGTTGAATAGGGTGCGTCATGTCTTCCGCGTCGCGGCGGCTTTGGCTAAACAAATGTTGCATCCAATTAAATCTATTTATCTGTCTCTAGGTCACACTGAATTTAACCATGAAACATATGAAGTAGCTTTTTTATTCTTTGGTCCAGTGACATTTTTTGGAACTCTGTTCCGGAGCATGGTTGGTGTCGGAACGGTATACATGGCAGTGAACACTGCTACCGCCAAGCTCGGAATGGCGGGAAAAGAAGAAAAATGATCCATTAATCTCTCAAGTAGGATAGGAAGAACGAGCCTTCCAAGTCTGTCTGTGTCTGTCTGTCTGTCTGTGGCGCCCGGCGTCTAACGGCCGAACAAAAGAATCTCGAAGGGCACGACGACAACCAGAGTCACCGCCGTCCCAACGCCAGCGCCATCTGAGAAGTTGAGCATCAAGTAGCGAAGTGCCATGTATAAAGAATATTTTCTCGAAACGTTAACTCCTTTGAATCACAGGTTTCGTGACGTAGATCCGTTGTAAGACGCGGATAGTCCGTTGCGAGCAGCTCCGACTGTGCTTAAAAAAATTCTCTGCTAAATATCTGCACTAGAAGTTTTCGAGAAATTTGATTTTGATTCGTATTAGTCTTCTATTTTGCGCAGATTTTTACTACAGCCTCTTTGGAATCCTAAAGTGTTAATTTATTGTGGACTTGTCCATCGTCTGAATATTGTAAAATTGCAACGCATCGGTATGTGGGTTCTGATTCCGCCACCAGGTGAAAAAGAGGACATGAGAAATCGATCTCTTGGCCTAGACTCAGGCCTAAATCAGGTTTGAGGCAGCTCACCTAGGGGGCCAAGCCGGTTTGCTGCCTTTCTTTTCTTTGTAGGCGTAAGCAGAATCCACTTTACGGAACGTCGTAATTTTACAGTAATCCGACGATGGACGAAGTCCGCAAGAAGACTTTAACATAATGTAAAGCACCATCGTCAGATACCATTACACTTCGACTATACAGTTATTACAAAATGATGTAATAATTTTTGAAACTTCATTTCAAACTCTCTAATAACCTTACGTAAAGGTTGGTTGAAACAGTAGCGTGCACATTTCTGTTTTCCAAACTGGCAAGTGATTTGGTTTGTCCTTCTGACTGGATTATTATTATTATTATTATTTAGTGTTTTGTCTGACGACAGGTCCATATGAACAGGATCCTTCCATCCTTTTCTCGGACTGGGACCTGTTCATATACGTTCTTGGCAGATGATCCAGAAGTGGTTTGCCATTGCCTTCTTCTGTGTGTGAATGGAGTAATTGTTGGGATGCCACGGAGGAAAACTCCGTGTTGCCTAGACCACGGCCTTGCCCAACACAAGTTATAAATCCGGGCACCGCCGGGAATCGAACCCGAGACCCCAGGATTACAAGGCCAGTGTTCTAACCGCTAGACCACCTTGGCAACTAAAACATGTCCCAGTATGTCCCTGGATCTAAATATTATGGATAATGTGTATGAAGAACATTTAACAGTTGACATTAATGACTTGGAACATGGAATTTATGAAGTGATTTTACGTAAGAGTTTTTTAACAAACCTTGCAGTAACTTGTATATTTATTTGATGATGTCGGAAAGGATCGAGTTAGGCACTCTTTTCATTGATACCAACCTGACATTTCTAGCATTTGTCCTACTTTGGCAAGGTCTGCTTTTTTCATCTGATCTGTTACAAATTTGTTAGGACTCCTCTGTCGAGTGATCGGCCCGTCGCAAGGCCTCTACCTGTACACAGGACAGCACAACACAGAAAAACGCGGACAAACATCTGTGCCTTCAGTCAGATTCGAACCCAAGGTCCTATTTTTCGAGCGGCACAAGGCCCACGCCTCAGACCGTTAAGAATGTGCATTTTTAATTTAAAATGTTTATTTATTTGTCCGGTTTGTGTAAAGCTGGTTATTGATAACCTAAAGTAAAACCTTTGTTAAGGAATTAGATCCTGTCATCTCGCGAAGTTTTATCACAAATAGGCTCAGTCCTAACACTGCAGCGTCCTTTTCAGTCACATGTTAGTTTTTAGTGTATTGCTGTGATGTCCATGTGCCGTGGATTATATTCTAAAGCTAAACAGACGATCCATTTATCAATCTTTAGTAAAATTCAAGACATTTATACACTTAATCGACTGTTTTAGTTTTTTTAACGACACTGTACCAACTCCTCTTCTTGGGCACGGTTTTGCATGGGAGAATATAAACTGCAAATCTTTGTTGCAATGACAAATTTCTAGTCAGCGCCCATTATGAGCCGGGATAGCTCAGTAAGTATAGTGACTAGCTACGGATTGGACGACCGGGGTTCGATCCCCGACGGGGGCAGAGGATTTTCCTTCTACCCTCTTCTTCCAGACCGGCTCTGGGGCCCACCCAGCCTCCTCTACAATGGGTACCGGGGTCCTTTCCCGAGGGTAAAGCCGGCCGGGGCGTGATGCTGACCACTCACCCCCATCTAGTGCCGAGATCAAGGAAGAGAGGAGCTATACCTCCTCTCACCCCAAACGCCTACTTGGCGTATAGTGGGACAAACTTTACATCGTCCATTGCCCTAATTTTAATTTAAGAAAAAAACATTGTTTCGTGCTCTATCGAATTATCTGATAAGAGTTAGTCCTTATCTCGGGACTTTTTAGACTCTCTCTCTCTCTCTCTCTCTCTCTCTCTCTCTCTCTCTCTCGACTGGACCCAACAGAGTAGGTTTTACCTGAAAATGGAGTCAGATTCCAATGCCCGAAACGTCGTTTATAATTAAAATTAGGACCGTGGATAGTGTCCAGGATGTTTGTCATTATTGTGACACAATTGTCACAAACATTCAGATATAATTTGTAAGTGTCTATGCTAAGAAAATACAGGGATCTGACAAATTAAGAGAGTAAGAGAGGTAAATGGTTGTTATTACTTTTACTGTATTCATTAAGTGCATTTGTAGCTGCAACATTTTGGTGGTGAAGCCTCTTGGGAACTGGAAGGACTGAGGTTGAAGTAGGCCTCGACAGATGGCTCTTCCGTCAGCTATGCAGAGATTAATTTAACTGGATGTAGATATTTTGGTGACGATGACGAAACTTTGAATTCCATAACACAGGATATGTTCGGTCAATTAAATTACTATCGCTGGACACTGAAGAACTTTTTTTTCTGTTTGTTTACAGGTAAGATGACAAAGAGAAACCGTGGTCACTAATTTGCTTCCCAACACTTCATACAAAGCATTTGCGAACGTGTTACAGGTAAGCTGTATTGAATAGCGACCAGTCATTGATTTAAATCAGAACATGAAATCATGATATTTCGTTAGTCTTATATGTAATATTCGTAGATTATGTTGCGATCC